TTTTTATCAGTTGGAGCGAAGAGGTAAAAAGAGCATTATTGAGTGGTGTAATGGAGAAAAGTTTGATTGCAATATCGTATAAGTGCCCAATTTGTGAAACAGATATGAAACTAGTAGAGCAAAAACTGTATAGACGGCTTTGAGTGGATGTGTAGAGTTACTGGAGGTGAATGTAAGGTCTGTTCGAAAGAACTCCTGGTTTGCGAAGAGTAAATCGGACAACTGTAATCGATGGAGATGGTTACGCGCGAGTTTCTGCAATTCTCTGATTTTTTTAAATGAAAGCAGATTTTTGAGTATATGAGCAATGCAGAGTGTATTCAATGTCTGATTTTTTAAGTAAAATTAGATCGATGGGCAAAGCCAATGTGGTGCGCAGTGCCGAGTTTGTGCAATTCTCTGATTTTTTTTAAGTGAGAATAGATCGATGTGCACATGGGCAAAGCCAATGTGGCACGCAATGCCGAATTTGTGCAATTCTGTGGTGTTTTTTAAGTGAAAATAGATCAATGTGCACATGTGCAAAACCCATGTGGTGCGCAATGCCAAGTTTGTGCAATTCTGTGGTGTTTTTTTTTTTTAAGTGAAAATAGATCGATGTGCACATGGGCAAAACCAATTCTCTGATTTTTCTTTTAAGTGAAAATATAGATGGATGAGCACATGGACACCGAGTTCGTGGAATTCTTTGATGTTTTTCGAGCGAATACTGATCGTTGTGAAACGAGGTTGTGTGTGATGCCGAGCAGTAATGTAACTTTATTTATGTGCAATGTGTAACATATTGTGGCTAATCTTTGGAATATTTTAACAGGTAGTTTGGCGACATTTTGGTAAGACGATAAAGGTTACTAGCTGGGACTTTAGCAGTGTACATGGATAAAGTCAAGAGTGTGCGCAATGCCATTTTTATGCAATTCTGGGATTTTTTTTTTTAAGTGAAAATAGGTCGATGTGTACATGGATGATACCGTGCATGTGCACTTCTTAAAAACGCGGCAAGCAGTGGGCGATTCTGCACTTTTTCCCAATTTCGCACCTAATCTTCGTCATGATTAAGCACTTTTGTTCCATGAAAGTTCTAGCATAAGCGTAATTCAGTTAGCAGATTGTTGAAAAAAAATGTTGATTTAAAAAAAAAAAAAAAAGATGCCTTTTTCTCGTGAAAACAAAATGGCGTCCAAAAACAAACTAGCAGGTTGGTGTAGCAGGGCTGGTCGCCAAAAATTGCCAAGTTACCATAATCCAAAGATTAACCCAACACTGTTTCACGCAACACCCAGAATTGCCATTTTTTGCAATTCTGGGATGTTTTTTTAGGTAAAAATAAGTCGACGTGTACATGGTTTATGTGTATGTGCTATTCTGAAAAACGCGCAAGGAGTTTGCGATTGTGCACTTTTTCCCAATTTTGCAGTTAATATTTGTATTGATTAAGCAGTTTTGTTACATAAAATTTCTAGCACAAGTGTAATTCGGCTAGTAGATTGTTGGAAAAAGTGTTCAGTAAATAAAAAGAAAAGAAACATGTCTTTACTTTGTGAAGACAAAATGGCGGCGAAAAAAAAAATAGAGGTTTGCTGTAGCAGAGTTGGTCGCCAAATTTTCACCAAAAAATCGCTAAGTTACCATAATCCAAAGATCAACCAAAATCTTTTTTCATTTCTATAATGCTTTAATGCTTTAATAAAAATCTTTGAAAATATTGAAGCTGTACAAGTAAGTATTAGAGACTACGACGTTTATCGTTTTAATAATTGGTAGAATTCGCTTACTGTATCATGGTAATTTTAAATATAAACAATTTATTATGCTTATTATCAGTAACCCCCAAGCTTAAATGTTATAAATGTAAATTTAAAGTAAAGAATTTAATATTAATTTACAATAATAAACAATTTATTACTGTATTTTTAAGAGAAAATAGAAAGTATGCGTAGTGTAAATGCGAGAATACTTTGTGACGTCACAAGCTTAGTCCCACCCATTTATGGACGTCACACAGCTCTGCCTTCTGAACTTTGTTGATGTAGCCTATTCTGCACGTTTACCCTTATTTGATTTGCTATTAATTCTATGCAAGTGGCAGCAAAATTTTAATTTGAATCTAGAAACTGACATAGTTGCAGCAACAAATGTTGGTGCTGCTGTTATGAAAAAATTTGCAAATCATCATCTATAGTTAATCAGTTGTGTTAGTCACATGCCATCCACTTAGCAGTTACTGATATGTTATATAAACATAGAGGAGAAATGGCTGTAGCCGAAAATTAATCAGTAGTGCTAGTCACATGCCATCCACTTAGCAGTTACTGATATGTTATACAGTCAAAAGTCGTTAATCTGGACTGGTCGGGACTTCGGCGATTCTGGATTATTGATCATCAGTTTAAATCTGGTAAGATGGCATGCAAAAATTATAAAATTAAAAATATGAAACCGTAATTTATGAAATAAAGAACAATTATGATCTAAAGGGTATCAAAATTTACAAAAAAAAAAAGCTTAATATTTATTTGTTTACTTTATTAAACATTTCTTTCAATGTAAGTTGTTTAAGTTGCCTTCGTTTTTTATGTGATAATACTTTCTCTTTAATTCTATAAACAGACATAATTTCTTCAGTTACAAAGTTCCGCTGTTCAAATCCTATAATTGCTGTGTCGAGAATACCAACTAATTTGTCAATTGAAATTTTTTCGTTTTCAATAACATCTGGGTCACTTTCTTCGCTATCGGAAGCGAATTATAATGACGAGGAATTTGATTTAAATCATATCAAAGACGGAGTACATCGAGATGAAATACTACATTTAGTAAGGAATTATAAGCCAAATAAAATAAAAACACCTGCCCTGAAGATAAGGATAGTGCTGACAAACCAACTTCCAATTCATTTTGCGCTCGCTGTGGCGTTCCCCCCTTCTGCCGCAGAGCAGCGTGAAATTGATAAACAGATTTTGGAATGGTTAGATAAACAAAGGATATGCCTTTATCCATTTTTTCTGCAATTCCACTTTTTGTTTAATGCACCTCGAAACATACTTTCGCTTTGTAGATCCTTTATATATTAGTAAATATATATCGGAAATTCTATTTGACATAATTGAAAGTTCAAGCTTACTTTTATAAAATTGCTCTGTGTGCAAAAAATAATAAGCCGGATCAATTCGTGAGATTAAGGAACAACGCAATCTGCAACATTAACTGAATTAGATAATTTTAGCTTAGGTTATACCGTCCGTTATACATTAAACGCACAAGCGTAAACGTATTATGCACATGCGCACACGTATATTTGCAGCCGTAGAGGTCATACGCGCATTTGACGCATGCACAGAAAGTTTGTAGCTTTGAGGTTCGAATTAATGACTAATTTCTGTAGAAAATCTCCAGTAAGAATATCATTCTTCAAAATTATATCGAAAAAGGAAAGTAATTAAATTCTTGACTGCAGAACAAGGTGGAATAGTATGGATGACATGATTGGAAGATTTCTGGCAATAAAAGAATGTGTTGTTTTAGCATTGAATGATATTGGTTCTTCTTATATGTGGAATGAAGCTCAATATCCTAAACTGTTAGAACTTCATAAAATCTTGGGACCAATTCGTCTAATAGCTGAAGATGCCAAGTTACTTACAAGTGAAGGTATATTTCAATTTCTGTTAAATGAATTAAAAAATGTAAACACTGAAGTAAGTTGGAAATTATTATATGCTTTAGAAGAACGAATTCAAGAAAGAAGACAAATAGAATTAAAAACTCTTTTGCTGTATTTTCAACATCCACAAAATATTTCTAGTTCAGTGATGAAATGTAGTGTACTTTCCTTAGCTTCAAAAACCGAAATTATTAAGTTAAACCTTTAGTACCACCACCACTCTTGAACAAAGCTCAGATCGCATAAATTTACGAGTGTTAGAAAAAAACTCAATCAGGATGTTGGGGGTTTAATTTTTGAATTTAATAGTTAAAAATACTTTTCGCACCACCGGTTGAGAACCCTTGGTCTAGAATATTTCCAAATTCTTATGTGAAAACCAATTCTGATGAAGAGCAAATCGAAGGAACTATTTATCAGAGTAATTTTTTTTTTTTTTTTTTTTTTTTTTTTTTAGAAGCTATGGAAAAATCAATCATAAGTTTCTTGAAGACCCTGAAGAAAATCTTACAAATACACAACACTGAAAGCTAAATTTTCATTATTTGAGCGATGGATAAAAGAACAAAAAATTTTATTTTACTTGTTGTTTGATATCCTGAAAACTATAAAACCAAGCTTAGTAGCTAGTGAACGAATATTTTCAGTTTCAGGCAATTGTGTCCAAAATAAGAACAAGACAGCCACCCTTCAGTGGATGTTTTATGTTTTTAAAAATCCTCTTTTCTTGTAGAAAATAAAATTAGTGAAAATAATATAAATATTATTTGAAATTTTTGTTTGAGTTTTCATTATTTTGTGTAAGTAATATGTGTATGTTGTAATCCTTAATTTTTTTTATATTTTGATATTGATTTTGTTATTTTACATAAGTAATATGTATATGTAATCTTTAATTTTTTTTTTTTTTTTAATATTGATTTTGTTTTTTGTTATTTTGTATAAAATATCTCCCCCCTTTTTTTTTCTGACAAAAATTCTAAAACTTTTTTTTTTTTTTTTTTTTTGTTTTTTTTTTTTTTTGGAAAATATTGAATTTGAAACCCAGTTTCTAAAAAAAGTCATTTTTTTTTGTATAAACCCTACAGTTAAGTAAATAAGACTGTGCAGAAATGCACCGTAAATATGTACAAAAATAAATTGGAGGAGAAGAATGATTGAACCTGAGAATAATAATAATAAATATTACATTAAATTTAAGGGCTGTCAAGTTTAAAAACATAAAAATGGAATAAATTTCAGTTCCAGCAGAATTTCATTTGCTTAGCTTGGGAAGTTCCCCCCACACACACACACACACCAGTTGTGTAAAATATATTCTTTTTTTCTTCTTTAGGATTGGGATAAACTGAAAGGCCATTATCATCCTGAAATCAAAGGCTATTACATGCAAGCCAAACAACGATTTAGAGCTGCATTATATAAGTTGAATACAGTGCGAAAGTTACCGTGTGAAGATAAACATGTAAAAAAGTACCAGCTAGTATTGGATCATGATAAGAGGAAGGCTGACATCCTAGGTTTGTCTTTTTTATGCATAACCTTTAATAATAAAGTAGAGTTTTGATAACTAACTCTTTGAATAGTTTAAAAGGCTCTACAACTTTTCATCTTCTTAATTCAGGTTTTCCTTTCTTCAGTTTTGTTTTAATTAATGAGGGTTAATTGTATGTTTGCAATAGTCACATGTACTAAATTAAACCTACAATGAGGGATATTTTTACTTCCTTGTACAAAGTAAAAAGGAAGTATTGTAATCATGAAATTGATAAACATTGCTCTAACAGTCTGCAAAAATAGTTTCAGGCAGTATACTTCAACGAAAATATCCATTTTGACCACTATCGAATGCAATTTAACGATTTTTTTACGTGATATCTGTACGTAAGGACAGAATAAAAGACTCGTTTCTCAAAAAAAAAAAAAAAAAATTATAAAACTGCTTTAAAATTAATTCTGAAGAGAATTTTTCGTGGCGTCTGTACGAACGTACGTACGTACGTATCTCGCATAACTCAAAAACGAGTAGCCTCAGAACATTGAAATTATGTGTATAGGACTGCTATAACATGCAGATGTGCACCTCGTATTTTGTTAGCAATCGGCCGCACCAAACGGTAATATAACATAATATAGTATTTAGTTTTCTGCAACTTTTAATACATAGTGTTTTAAACTGTGTAAATTGAATGTGAAAGTGTATTTTTCTAGTAAACTTAATTCTTTCTTTCCCCAAGCATTAATTTAATAATAAGTTCAAAGTTTTCTACAGATTTAAAGTTCTTAATTAATCTGAAATAAAATTTGAGGTATAATAATGTGTAAAGAAACCATAGTAAATCATGTTTTGTTTTTTTTTTTTTAAATGGTTGATCATATTAATTTATTTGATCTTACAGCTGATTTGTTTAATTTTTTAAAATATTTAACAAGAGGAGAGATGATACTTAACTGGTATAAGTAACTGAAAGGATTTCATTTGCCTTTAGTATATACAATCTAATCGTTTTATGTGCTAATACTTTCAGTATTTCAGTAATAAATTTTATGTTTCTTTTCTAAATAAGTTAAAAAATTAATTGGCATGCATAATTAAAATGAAGTTAAAAATTAAATAAAGTATTTTAAGTTGGTAGGTTGAAATGTTATATGTAAAAAAAATAAAGTACCTCCAGTTGGTGAAATAGATGGGTCGTCTGCAAAAGCTCATCTCCATTTTTTTTTTATGTTTAAATGTGGTTTCAGCATATCAACTTAGAGTATTTTATCTTTTTCTCTTTTTCTCTTTTTTTTTTTTTTTTTTTTCTAAATAATTATTGAAGAGAAATGTAGTATTTCTGTGGGTTTATTCAGATGGTAAAGTCCCCACTTAAGACCTCTTTTTTGGGGGGGGGATGTAGAAAAGCTTTTCTGGGAGTGGCATATCATGCTATTTTAGCAGCAGCTTGATCTCTGTTTGAATGTAATGATAAAGCAAGTTTGCTCTAGGTTAAGGAATAATTCCTATGCATTTTTAGTCAAATTTGGTGTAAACACAAAATGAATAATATACTCTCCAGATTGTTTGCAAATTCCTCCCTCTGTGGAATAAGTTTTCCAGTGTCTCTGTGATAAAAATTGTCTAATCGAATCCTTAATTCCATGTCATTATTGAACGAGATACTGAGCAAAAACTTGAAGTTAATTTTTTTTTTTTTTTAAATCTAGCGGGGCCAAGTTAGGAGAGTATGGAGAATGTGGTAGCATTTCCATCAGAGTTCTTGAATCACAACTTTAATTATATTGGCAATGTGAGGATGGGTATTGCTGTTTTGCAGAAGAATGCCTTTTTTCCTATTCATTCTTTTATTTCCCCACCAACTAACCGAGGTACTTCTTTTTGAAGTACCTCAGTTAGTTGGTGGATTTGTTGAATGCAGAGTATTGAGTGTTTGGTTATTCTCAAGCAGTTTATAATGAATTATACCTTCTCGTCCCACCACCCATATGTATTGTCTTTCAAGGATGAAGGTCTTTTATTGGGTCGAGCTACGGCAGGTCTGGATTTTACTATTTCTTATTGATGTAAAGGATATATATGTAGTAGTGAAAAAAATGGTTTATTTTCATCATCGCTGACAGTGTAGGAAAGAAGATGCTGTTTGGTAGTATTTGCTAAGCACTGATTTTTGGTCTTTTCTCTCCAAGGGTGGCACAAATGCAGAATTTCCTAACTTTGCTTGCTGAGTGAGAGTGTTTCACTAACCCCCCTGTTTGTTTTATTTTCTTCCCCTAAGTTCTCTGGTTTTTTATGCAGATTTTCGTGGAGGTGATAATTCAGTCATTGTTCATTTAAACTGAGTTGTATGTGTGCTCTATTTTTGAAGTCAGAATTAGTATTTTTGATCTGCAGAAACCAATAAAAGGTTTTTTTTTTTTTTTTTGAGGCATTCCTTCTTTTCTATACACAGTATGAGCTTTGGTAGCCTTAAGACCTTGATTAAATATATAAAGCAAATGGCATCGAAAATGCACGGTTAAGTTTACTTGACATTTCATTTTTATGATCTGTAAAGAAAGAAAAATCAATAAAGTTTTTAAAAAAATCATGCAAAGAAAACATTTCCCTTGCAAATAACATAAAATATTTAGCCTGTGTGTTGTGTGTTTTTCGTGCATTTTTTTAACTGTGAAAACTCTCATACCCCAACCAAATACTTTAACCGTTTGAGTGCCACATGTCTTTGCTGTTTTCCCATCCAAAAGTACCAAGGAGTGCTTTTTCTTTTGTCTTATTCGCCAATTTAAAAATGCCAAGGAGCACTATTGCGCTTTTTTCTGCTTATATGGTCAGTTGTAATTCTTTCAGTTCAGTGTTTTGACATCTTTCTGAGCATAAGTACAGATGTCAGCATCTTTAAGTTATATAAAAATAGCGTGTTGCGGTTTCTTCCACTCCGTACATACTCTGAGCGTGTCTCGATTGTCGGCTTTGTAGCCTAGAACACTGGCATTTTTTGAGCGACACAGAAGAAGCGCAAAATCGCTCCTTGGCACTCAAATGGTTAAAAAATTCTCTTAAAGAGAAACCCACTAGTTGTTGAGTTCATGCATCTGGTCATATAATAAAAGAAATTATGGGACTTTATTTTTTTTTTTTGGGGGGGGGGAGACTTAAAACTCATAATGATGAACCATACTTTTTTTTTTTTTTTTTTTTTTGTTTGTTTGTTTGTTTGTTTGTGTTTTGTGTGTGTGTGTGTGTGTTTTACTTGAGCACCAATCTTTTTTAATAACATTTTGTGTATGAGCAGTTGTTAGATCAACAGAATGAGATTTAGGGTTTATAGTAAAAAGTAATCTATACAGTACAAAGTCTTTAATCCGGACTCGCCGGGACTTCGGCGATTCCGGATTAGGGGTTTTTCTGGATTATAGATAATCAATTTAAATCTGGTAAGATGGCATGCAGAAATTATAAAATTAAAAATATGAAACCATAATTTATGAAATAAAGAGCAATTATGATCTAAAGGGTATCAAAATTTACAAAAAAAAAAATATTTATTTGTTTACCTTATTAAACATTTCTTTTGATGTAAGTTGGTAAAGTTGCTTCGTTTTATGTGCTAATACTTTCTCTTTAATTCTGTAAACATACATAATTTCTTGTTCAGTTACAAAGTTCTGCTGTTCAAGTCCTGTAATTGCTGTGTCAAGAATACTAATTAGTTTGTCAATCGAAATTTTTTCATTTTCAATAACCTCTCTGTCACTTTTCTTCACTATCGGAAGCGGTACATCGAAACATGCTTTCGCTTTGTAGATCCTTTGGCAGCTCCAGAATCGGAAACTCTTTTTGACATGATCGAAAGTTCAAGCTTACTTTTTATAAAATTGTTCTAACTGTCTGCAAAAAATAATAAGCCGAATCCAATTAGAAGATTAAGGAACAACGCAATCTGCAACATTAACTGAAAAAGATAATTAGATAATGTTAGCCTATCTTATACCATCCGTTATACATTAAACGTGCATGTGTAAAGGTATTATGTGCATGCGTAAACGCATGCGTAGAAAGTTTGTAGCTTTGAGGTCTGAATTATAGATCATTCCGGATTATGGATGTCCGGTTTAAAGACTTTTTACTGTAGTAACCTTCTTTTTCCAGTCTTCTGTTTTATATGTTCCCCAGTTCCCCAGCAGTCTGAATAAATCATTGATCCCTCTTATACATGGTTGCTGGTTTTTGCCATGAATGTGGCTACTTCTGTTAAGAATCTGAGTGAGAAAGAATTCACCAGCTTCTCAGTGTAGCAGGTCAAATATCCACTGGTGAGGCAGAACTCTGCCAGTTTTGTTTTTTGCTCATATGACTAGTTTTTCATTCATGGCCACCTATTTGCTTATTTTGTTATTCGACTAGATGTAGAGAATTCACCTCTTTCATAAAACTGTTCCAGTCTATAGTTGTATTTTTGTAAAGGCTGCCCAAGGATTTAAATTTCCAGAGTACGTACTGTTAGGAACCATCTACCTCCACCTCAGAAAAGGAAAAATACATAATAGTAATGGGAAAACTAGCTGATAGCTGAGTTGCTTCTAATACCATTTAATTAGCATCATTTTGTCTGCCCTAGTAGTAAATAAATCACTAGGCTGTTATAAATTATTTTCTGAAACCACTGGACCAGTTGTCAAAATGTTTGCTTTTCCATCACTTGCAACTTACAAATGCTTTCAGCAACACATATTTTTAATTTGTAGTATTTTTGCATATTTGAATGTGAAACAAAAAACCTTGAATTATTTTCGTGATGACAGAATTATGAGTGAGTGTGGATTGTTAATATTTATATGAAAAAGAAAAAGAAACTGTAACATATATAATCAAAGTTTTTCTCATCATGAGCAAGCTGTAAATGATAATCATTAAGACTGCCTGCTATTTGAAAACAGTTTGCATTGGTGATTATTTAATGGTTTTGCTATCTTTAACAAAGCAGGACCATTATGATAAGGAAGTAGCAAAGTTTCAAACTTTTTTTTAATTCTTGTAATTTTACTAAGAAATGGCAAGAAAAATTAAAACAAAGATGTAGATTTTTTTTTTTTTTTTTTTTTTTTAATGAAACTTCACTAAATGCATCCATTTAAATATTTGTCTAAGAGTTGCTTACATTTTAATAAAAGTTACATTAGTATGAAATAAATTAAAATTTTTAAATTGTCTTTTTGATTTTTTTTCCCTCTCAGGAAGGACAAAAATTAGCCGAATATTAGCCAAGAAAGAAGAATGCCAAAAGTCAATTCCGACTTCGGTTATTTGTAAGAACACTTCTTACATCGAGAAACCAAAGAGAGTTTTTATAGAACAGCCATGTTCTCCTCCTTCACCTGCTAGCTCAACTAAAAGTGAGAACTCTGACAAAATGGAAGAGGATAGATGTGTGGAAGAGTATCAGCAAGCACTACAGAAACAATTGATGCATAGTAACTGCTGCAAACATCTCAGAAGTATTGTTACACCAAAGAAAGAAAATTTGCCAAAAGCTAAATACTGTAACCCAGTTTTTAAGGAAATTCCTAAAACAAACTTTATGCAAAAAGCTCCTCATGTGCCTATACAACCTGTACCTGTATATAGTAAGTGTTTTACAAGACCAGTAGTCGACAACTCACAAAGACGTTACGAAAGTCCTCATCTTCTTCTAGTCCCGACGTACAATGATGACATATTTGAGGACACCAAGGTGTATAATGATGATATATCAAATGACAGTAAGGTAAATAAATCTGTAATGGTTTTGTTACATTTAAGATTTTATCTTATGCTGGTGTTTTTTTTTTTTTTTTTTTTTTTCCCCAAAGCTTATTGCAGTTGGGAAAAGTTGTTAAAATTTTAACTTACAATGTTGTGAAACAAGTTTAAATTTATATATTTATTTAAATCAATCATAATCAAGATCTTAACGCAAGAATTGCACAAAATCTTAAATTGTCTTCATTCCCTTTTAAGATAAAATACTATAAACAGGCACTGAAGTCTGTCTTGGTAACTAAAGCAGCTAGTGTTTCTGAGAACATAATTAAATAATGATGTTGAACATTGCCAACAGATTGCTTGCCATAGAAGATCAGAATTTCCTGGAACTGTGGGTATTTAATTTAGATTTTAAAATTTTTTAAGAGTTCATCAATTACTGTGAATGCAGTTATTAAATGCAGAGCAGATATATGTAGGATAGAAAGGTACATTTGTTGCATTTTTGGACTTAATTTTATTTCCTTGCATATTTTGGCTTGATACAAAAGAGAATGATTCGAAACGGCAATAAGAAAATGTTCTTTTAATGTCATGAAAATTCTCCAAAACTCCACTGTGGGGAAAGAACACAGCTTGTCCCCCTTTTTTAATATGCTTTTAATACTTTCTAGTTTTGTAGTGCCTCTTGATTTTTCGTGCTAGAATGAGATAACTGGTGATTAGTGAAACTACTGTTTTATGGGATTAGATCAGAGGTGTTTGCTCACTGAATTTTTTTTTTTTTTTTTTTTTTTACTACTAACTGCTAACTAACAGTAGCCTTGGTGAAAAACATCTGGAAGGAGGAGTGAATAAAGCGTGCTTAGTGAGGTGAGGATGAAGCGAAGAGCAAAAAGAATTGAACATGCAGTAGGGCAAAAAATGGTTAGCGAGGTTGGAGCGAAAAGAATCAGTGCCTTATTGTGCTAAAATTAATCTATTCTGAATTTTTACTGAGGAGTAAGTTTCTTATTTAGGAAAACTATATCTAATTATTGCGTTACATGTAAAAATTTTACTTGTTTTGTAGATGCAAGCTGTGATCTCTCGTCCATCATATATGATGTTGTCAAGATTGCAATTATTGGTGAATAAAGCATGGAGCTTTTGTAAAGCAATGTACAGAGTTTGTTAGAATAACTTACCTGTTTAATGAATAAAAATTGCAAGCAGTAAAAGCAGACTAAATTTGAAGCAGATTTAATTAATATAGAATTGCAGTTTTGCCAGGATCTTTATCAAGTGTATGGGAAAGATGTAATTGACAAAGTGTTTGTCAGGTTATGAACCTTACTGAAATTTTACATAAGGTCACTTGTAGTAGAATTAAATTTATTCTAACTGGGATCAGTACTAAATTTAGTTATTTAAATATTGTACATTTTCTTCGAGGTTATTGTGGAATAGATTTTTTATAAAATATTTTTTAATCTTCATTTTTTATTGCAGTTATCACTTGTGAATTATTAATTAAAATGTCCCATGAATAAAGATGGGGATAATATATTAAAATGTGAGCAATAGTGTAATTTGAACATAAAACTATTTATCCACCCCCCTTAAAAAATCTTTGGTGTTTTCATTTTTAATAATATATTGTCATCTTTGAAGTAACACTTCTTATGTAATCAAAGTGTTGGATGATATACAGTTGAACTTCTGTTAGCTACTTTTGTGTGACGTAAGTTTTTATCTGTTATAATATTGGAGTGGCCACTAAATTGAAGTGCATTGATATCCTACTGTTTTGAATTCAGGGATTTGCAAAGTGTTCATTAAAATGGAATGCCTGGAGGTTTGATTGTCATTCATTAATAAAAGCAGATAATTAGTCATCCCTTGGGCTAAATGTTTTTAAATACTAATGAAATGCTTTTAGTAATATTCCATAAACATTATTTTTTGCCTACTGACATGTACTATTAGACACTGACTACTGACAAGTACACATATAGCATAAAAATATGATTATATTTTATTTCTGAAGTAAGAAAACTGAAATAAAAGTTGTATTGTAAAAAGTGCATTGGAAATGTCCCAATCTCTGACTTGACTGAGTTACAGCTTTCCCTCCTGTTGCTTTGCTTAAATGAAATTTTATAGTTGTGAATGAATTATTAAGCCATTGCTAATTCTGAGTTTTATGAATAATAAGTGCATTGCCTTAAATAGACATATTGTTTGAATTCATTTTAAAAGTGCACAATTATAGTTAATAAACCATCTATTTTATTAACTATGGATATTATCAGTGAATAATTGGCAGTCTCCATTGTTAATAAAATGGATAACCAATTGCAGATATTTCCACCAAAATCGTGCTTTGGAAGGCTTGCTAGCATAATATTTTTACTTTGTAATAAACACAGTTATAACACAGCTTAAATGAATTTTTGAATTATAGTTACTATTCCACAATAACTAGAGGAATCATTTAGAACTTCATTTAACAATAAATGAAATGGAAGATGCAAAAGGGGCTATATGAAAAAAGTCAAATTTTTCAATAGCAACCCTCCCTCCAAAAAAAAACAATCCCATTGCTCAGAAAAATATCAGAAGTTACTATGAGATCCTTGTAATTAGCATTCTAATTCTCTGTTGCTCATGTTTATCATATCATATAAACAGCAGAGAATCTACTGGGTAAAAAAAAGTAAATAAGTTAATGCAAATATAAAATTTTACTTTATATATGTAGATTTGTTCATTTTAGAAGGGCTTTCATTGCAATATACGAGTTTTCTTGAAAGGTGTTCTTTGAAATGATTCCTTTAGATTCAGAAGGAGGAAATAGAATGATATATGTGCCGGTCTGGAAAGTAAATAATACTGGATGTACAAAAGCTTTTTAAATTTCCATATTTGGCAAAGTTTTGGAAATGATTTTTGGTCTTTCAGAAGTCCTTAATTTTTACCAAAATTTCCAAGTAGTCCTTTATTTTGCCCATATAATATTTCTGCCCCTTTTCTATGCCTGCTGTTCTCAGTGTGAAAGTAAAATTTTGATTAAACATGGAGCTCAAACTACATGAAGGTTGGACTTCCTACCCACTGTTATGAATTGATCTCAAAATTTTCCAAGCATATGGAAGAATAAGACTCTGAAAAATGTAGAGATTTGTTCTGAAAATACTTGGTGGATGTTTAGAACAATCTAAATCTGGAAAAGGCTGCAATGGCGGTTCTTTTACTTGAACTTAAAATACTTTGGAAAGTTCTAGCAGGATTGATAGACCTGCAATTAATTTCTAAATATTAAAAAAAAAAGTTTTAGTAGTAAAAATGTGACTTAGAGATCATCTCTGACAGCTTTGACAACTTCATAATTTTTAAAAAAATTGTTTGAATTTTGTCCTTTTTTGAAAAGGTGCCACAGATTTAGCTCGCCTTGCCAAATCTGTATTTAAAGCATACTCTGCTTCCAGAATATGTGTTATTCTTTGAATTTGTTTTCTTTATTACATCAAAAATAAGTTCCTTTTTTAGGAAATGAGTACTTTTGCTGTCCTTTGCCAAGCTTAAGAAATTTTAAGGTTTGTGTACAAAATTTTAATTTGGTGATTTGCATATTTCAGGACTTTCCCCCCCCCCCAAGTTGGTAGGAATTTATTTAACCTTTTCTTGGTCAGAATTTTTTATTTCCCTTCCAAATTTCTGATCCCAAAAAAGCATTTATTTATATATATATATATATATATATATTTTTAAGTTGCTGAAAATTAATGTATGTTCCATCCTAAATTTGAAAATGCAAAATATTACAGTACAGTAGACTCCTGATTATCCGCAGGCGGTTTATCTGCGCCTGCCGCACAGTCTTTTTTTTTTTTTTTTTTTAACAAGCGTGTAAAGCAAAGAAAATAAAAATGTTCACATAACTGAGCGAAACGTTCAATTTACTAACATCGTGCTTATTTATGGCAAAAATATCCCAGGCCTTCTTCCAGAACCTTCCCCTCTGATGAGTAAGTGATTTCTTACTTACCCTTGCAGTGCCCGCTCCACCGCCCTCTCTCGTCTTACTGACACGTCCACTTCCTCCCACACGCCATTGTTATTTTAAGCCTGATAGTGTTTGCGAACCGGTCAGAATTAATTTCTTATCTTTTATTGTGTTCAGTGCTTGTGCTTTTTTGTTTTGTGTTTTTCATTACCGATTTAAAATGTCAGGAAAATGAAAGAAGGTTGTGTTGACGATAGCGCAAAAACTAGAATTAACTTCCAAAGTAGCAAACTGCGCTATAAGGCAGTAGATAAAATTGGATTACGGAATATCGGAAACAACAGTGCGTGACATTCTAAAGCAAAAAGACAAACTTGTGAACTTTGCATCAATGTCGGACAGTGCTTCCGCAATGAAAGCGCGAAAAACTGATGAAAGTTTCTACCTTTGATGAGCTAGACACTGGCATTGACAGAAATGGTTAGCTCAAGTTTGAAAAGAAGGGTACTCCTGTAAATGGTCCTTATCATTGCGACGAAGGCAAAAACCTCTCTTTGAGTTGTTAGGCCTGAAAGTAAATTTTGATGCGTCTTCTGGCTGGTTGACTTCGTTTTAAGCCAGCGACATGGAAATTTGAGAAATTGGACTTCATGGGGAGAAACTTTAGTGGTGACCAAACAAGCAGCCGACTATTTCCACCATGAATTTGAAGAATTTGTTTTAAAAGAAGAGGTATCTTTTAAACAAATTTACAATGCCGACGAATTGGGACTTTTGTGGAAACGTCTTCCCACTCACACTTTAGCATTTGAAAGTGAAAGTAAAGCGGCGGGTCATAAAAGCAGCAAGGAAAATATCACTATCATGTCTTGCAGTAACGCTACCATTGGACATAAACTTAGACTTGTTGTCATTGGAAAGTAATAAAAAAAAAGAGAGAGAGAGAGAGATCTTTCAAAGGCACAAGAATAGAAAATTTGCTCGTTGATTACTTTAACAAAAAAAAAAAAGGATGGATGAACCGAAACATTTTT